ACAAGTAATATCGATCACTATCACGATTAATACTATATTGTTTTGTAGATTGATTTGGGCGGACCATCCAGAGTCATTAAGATTTCTACTCAAGGACGTCAAGATTATGACCAATGGGTAACACAATACTATCTGAGCTGGAGCGTCGACGGTGCCAATTATGCCGAATACATGAACGAGCATAGCTCAAGAAAATACTTTACAGGCAACAGAGACAGAAACAGCATAGTACAGCATCGTTTCTTCCCACGTATCAAGGCACGATTCATACGTATTCATCCATGGGGCTGGAGAAGCCACATTTGCATGAGGGTTGAGCTCTATGGCTGTCGCACAAGTAAGATTTATTTTTGTAGTCGTTCAGTAAGTCGTATTTCTTAGTAGCTGTAATTTACGAGCCGAAGCCGAGTATTTACTGAGGACAATAGAGGTCTGAACGCTTTACGTCAGTATTTTATTTTCAATGCATTGTGGGATCGGTTTCAAGAGAAAACAAAAGAAATCCGCCATGTTTTGTCCCAAACATATCCTACATTGCATTGCGTATGTGGTACATGACGTAAAAGCTTCAGAAGTCTATTCCCTTTACTGTTTTTCTTAACTTTTGCGATTTTGTGTAACACTCAAAGTATCGGAACCAAGAAACTTAAATTCTCCGTTGTTGCAGCACGTCTTCCGAGCGTGCTCAGTGCACTTCTCCCCAGTCTCCTCTTCAACTAAAATATCAAAACAATTTCGTTTTATTTCAGGTCGTTGTAACATGCCTATGGGTATCCAAGATGGCCGTATTGCCAATGGACAAATGAGCACATCTACCTCACACTACCCCCCATGGAGAGCGAGACTTTTCACCCGTTCTTACTGGTATGCCAGGACTCAGAATACAAACCAATGGTTACAAGTTAACTTTGCTGCTCAGGCTGTATTAACTGGTGTTGCGACACAGGGTGCTTACAACTCGCGATGGGTCAAGAGTTATATACTCCAGCACAGCCGTGATGGTAGACAGTTTTATCCAGTCAAACAAGGAGGACGAGTCAAAGTAAGTGTAGATTTTTATTTAACTCTTCTTGTTTTATATCGTGGAACCTCGTTGATGCGACCTCGTTGAAGGGACACCGGGAAGTAGCCGTCCTGACGGGGTGGCCGACTAGGTAGAAAAGAATTCTTCGTTTGCAATCACGTGACTTTTTGCCTACCAAATCTCTTCCGGTTTCCAAGTGACGGGCAAACGATTATAAACAAACATGGCCGAGAACGCGCACGTGAGTGACCTTGATACTTCAATGCAAGAAAACACTCTTTCCGAGTACACTTAAACTCTAGACCCAAAGACAAAACGTAGATACGTCGACAAAATATCTCTTTGCGATGGAATCGATCCTTATATGATGAAATYGAAAGAGTTTTCACAAGATTAAGTCTAAGAGAGCACTGGCGGCTTCGGAATGGCGACGCTTCAATTCCCTGTTTGTTTATCTCTCTGCACGTTTCACATCGTTCTCTTTGAGTTGTTTCACCTTTTGATGTCCCAGTTTTAATGTAGGTGCCCAGTCTATGTTATTGTCATCATATAAATTGCTTGGACATACTCAAGACATACAAATCTATAATGGAAACACTCCTACATGACAAGCTAAAGTTTTAGGTGTTTAATACCGTTAACCGCATATGTTTCAACCAAACTTAAATCTACACAAACGAAAGATATAATACATACTGTTTACAAAGTGATCGCTGCATACACGGGCGTTCGGAGATTCAATTCCTTTCGAACAGAGCGATATGTTGGCCAGCCATTTTTCATGTCGTCTCCTCGAAATATTTTTGGTGCGATCACCCTTGTGGACGACTTCTTTTGGTATTCTGAAGAACCTCTTATCTTTCTGTTTGTTTGATCGATTTGTACAACCATAAATTGAACAGCAATCGGGCATATTTTTGAAATTTAGCGCTAAAAACCTCTCTGACCTATTYGYAAACACAGACAATCTCTCGTGGCGTCAGCTGAATTTTGCCCGTCAGCTGGAAATATGCATTTTAATTAACCGGAAGTGACGTATATTGCAAACTAAGAATAGGGGTTTAGTCGCTGGGACCAAAAAACTTGGCCGTTATTACGGGGTTGTCGTATTAAGGGGGTGGCCGTAATGCGGGGGTCAACTGTACTGTAGTTTGACTGCAGTGCCTTCGGGCTGTTCAATCTTGTGAACTCCTTTGGTTTTTTTAAGAGTTCTTGATTTATCTTTGCCATTATTAGTCTTTTAAAGGCACAAGTGCATCCGAGAAACTTTGTGTGATTTTCTCACGTAAAAAAAATTCCCATATTTGATTTTGAATCAATCAGAAACCTACTTTCAGCATGAGATCATTTGTAAAACAAAACAAACAACCGCAAAGGCTCTCGGACGAAAGTAGGACCTTAAAGTCTTTTTTCCTTTTGACCGTTAAAACTAGAAAGACTTATAGTTATTAGTGCTCTTTTATCCTATGTTTCTTTCCTTCTCATTTCATCTGACAATAATCTCTTAAAGGTCTACACCGCCAACAGTGATCGCAACACAGTTGTYTTCCACAACCTTCCCAATGTTCGCTGTGTTTTTATTCGTCTCTATCCAAGGTCTTGGTATGGATATATCCACCTTAGAGTCGAATACTTTGGATGTGGAGGTAGGAAATTCTACTGTGGCTGTAGAACATCTTGCTTTTTTATAAAAAATCGATAAGTTTTATACAGTAAAAAGCGAGGAAGAGCTATGTTCGCCGGGGAAAAGGAGTGAGTTTTTTCCTCTTTCATGGTGAACAATTTGTATTTTAACACTTCTGTGTGGTTAGAAACACTTGCTAAGTTCATACTTGAATGGCATTAAGATTTCATTAATTTGTTCAAGAATTAAGAAACGCGCTCTGTAGTCAAACTTTCTTTAAAAAGGTCACCTAATTTTAAAAACGTTGTCATAGAAAAAAATGGCCATTTGTACTTTCGAAATACGGAACAAATCAAAAAAAGACAAAAATATGATTCAGTCTGGATGCATTGGATAATCGCGCACTTTAAGAGGTTGTAAAGTTAATGTAAATGATGTACATCATTTTGAACTTACATCAAATTTACAACCTTTAAAGTGCCTGATTATTTACAGTGATGCTTTCTCTTGTATGTTTATTGTATTTCATGTTACTAAAGTAAACATGTTCTATTTATCTACAACAACTATGATGTATATGACTAACAATTGCTTTTTTCTCAGAACGCTTCTGTAACAACCCACTTGGCTTAAGCAACGGACGTCTTAAAGGTTCACGCATCTCAGCATCCTCCCAGATCAACAACCAGTACCGAGCTGAGCTGGGTCGACTGAATAACCGAATACGGGGACGCGACCAGGGAGCCTGGTGTGCACAGCACAATAACCATTACCAGTGGTTCCAGGTAGGAACAATAGAAGTGTCCGATCAATAATCGATTGATTAATGAATTATCGGTTAATATTGATTAATGAGTTTAATTATCGATTAATTAATGAAATATCGATTGATTAGTGAATTATCGGTTAATATTGATTAATGAGTTTAATTATCGATTAATTAATGAAACATCGATTGATTAGTAAATTATCGATTATAATTGAATGATTATCGATTAGCTTTATCATTTTTTTTGGTTAAAGTGCCATGGTCCACTTTGACCTTTTGTTATGTTTGAAAATAGAATTACATCATAGCAAAAACTTGCTTTTTATTATTTCTTTATACTCTATGAATCGAGGTATTGTAAAATTCTACGGTAAAACCGACGTATTGAAACATATTGCATTTTGATTTTCCATATGTGAAAAAWGCTAAACACGTCCAAATGCTAGAGGACCATGGCCTTTTAAAGTATTGCTTCCCAATCAAAAGTCTACGATGTTTATCATTTCATTCAACAATTATATCTCTAATTTTGCTTATAAATGCCAAGCATCCGAGTAGTTTCTCTTGTTTGGTTTGCTAAACAATGCTATTGACTTCAGGTTGACTTTGGAAGAACAATGAAGATCAASGAAATTGCAATTCAAGGAAGACCAAAGCACAATTGGTTTATGAAAACTTACTACGTACAGTACAGTTTGGACGAAGTTCACTGGAGCTACCAGAAATACTATAACTCAATCAAGGTATTTATCTGCAGACGCGTAAACGTTATATTTGAATCAACACCTATTTAACGGATCGCTCTTTTATTCTAGACTTACGCAGCCAACCGCGAACTATACAGCATGGTAACCGCTGCCATGAACCCACCATTGCTAGGCCGTTACGTACGTATTATTCCACGTGGCTGGTACGCACGTATCTGCTTGAGGGCTGAGTTCTATGGATGTCCTGAAAGTAAGTGGTGACGTAAYGTAAACGTAAACAGAAACGTAACGAAAACGTAATGTGAAGTCCAATTCATTGCAACGTAACTAAACCCAAACGCAACGTAGTGMAGGCGTTGCGTAACAGTTACGTAACGCAAGGTCAACGTAATGCATCACGAACGTAACGCAACGCAAAAAAACGCAATGCAAAAAAAGAAACMATTTAATGATTCATTTTATTTTTATTCAGATCGTTGTGAAATGCCTTTGGGTATGCAAGATGGTCGTATCCTCAAGAACATGATCACAGCTTCCAGCATACACTCTAGTACTGCGTACCGTCCATTCCACGCAAGACTGTACTACGCTAGCGGATCATGGTTCGCTCGTATACGCAACGCACACCAATGGTTACAAATTAACTTGGGCATTGGCTCTATTGTAAGGGTGATAGCCACACAAGGTTCTTATAATGGATATTGGGTGAAGAAATACACCTTGTCTTACAGCAACAAGGGATTCAAGTTCATTCCATATAGAGAAGGAAAGCATGTCAGGGTAAGATTTTCATCGTGTGGATTATAGTTACTGGATTGTGGAAAGGAAGGATCGATACATAGAGGTTAAAGGAGTAAACGTTACGAATTTATCTCTTATTTGAAGAATTCACCGATCTCTTCTTCACATAGATTAATCACTAAACAGTTTTCCCAGTGGAATTGAAACTGTCCAAGCAACAAACACAAAATCGAATATTTTTTAATAAATTCATTAGCTTTTTCCGATGAAAATATAAAAAAACATATGACACAAAGCACGTTCCTGCATATCGCAGTAATCGGTATCTTTTCCATGCTCTATATCAAAGGAATATATTCKCTTGTCCGACGTAGCAACAKTAACTAGGGAGCAGAAAATTTAATAATTAAGATATAAGAAAATAATAATTATAAGAACTGGAGATAACTGGTTTGACTTAAGTATTCTTATTTTGATTGTAACCAATGGCTTTCCTATTTGCAAATAAGAGACGATCAATAGACTTTTGAAGCTTTTACGTCAACTATATGATTGCAATGCATTGTAGGATTAGTTTCTTGGGAAAACGAAAGGCATCCGCCATGTTTTGTCCCAAACTTATCCTACAATGCATTGCAAATGCGATATATGACGTAAAATTTTCACATGATAAATGTGCAGCCGAACCAAAACTTGTTGTTATGTTCGAAGGCTATTATTTCACAAGAGATTAAACTTACCGTTAGATCTTACTGTTCAATAAAAGAAAACTAATTTAAAAGAGAAATACTCATTACTCCAATTCTGCTTTCAGATGTTCTTAGCAAATTACGACCGATACCAAGTTGTGAAAAACAGACTTCTGAAGCCKATTAGAACACGTTATGTCCGAATTCACCCCAAACTCTGGCACAGTTATATAGCTATGCGTGTAGAACTCTACGGTTGCCGCCTCGGAAAGATCTGTAACCAGCCTCTTGGAATGAGAAGTGGCCGTATTCCTAAYAGTAGGGTCTCAGCTTCTTCGCAGTATAACAAGTTTACTGGCCCATCAAGAGGTCGYTTRTACGTRAAGAAAGCAGGTCATTATCATGGGGCCTGGATACCAAAGTTCAACAACCGCTACCAATTTTACCAGGTAACGCTATCCTTGTTATGGCGGCGTGACATACATATGCGTCACTGTGAGTTTTTCGTAATATTTTTATGCACAAAGAAACGAATTGTGTGACAGAAGAAAGGTGACATGATTTTGGCAGGTGTGTGACAGATGTTTGTCACGGCAGCATTTGACGGAAGTGTGTGACAGAGGAAGGGTGACATGATTTTGCCAAGTTTGTGACGAAAGTGAATAGCAAAATGTCGTGATGAAAGTGCATGAAAGACGCTTGAAAAAATAACTGCAACACGAATTTTTTTCACAGAAGTACAGAGCAAAATGCCATGACAGATGTTGTGACAGGAATGCGTGACCTTTATATGTATTATGTAACGCAATTATCTCTTTGTCTAGGTTAACTTTGGAAGACCAACCAAGATTATGATGATCGCCACACAGGGAAGACAGGATGCTAGACAATGGGTGACACGTTACCGCATTATGCATAGTGTTGACCCAGTTCATTTTGTCTTCTATAAGGAGAGGAACTCTGACAAGGTAGGTTAGCAATGCATTGTGGTC